ACACATCAGGATCCTGGAAACAATCCAGGGAAGGCTCAGGATTTTATAATTCTCAGAGTTTCTCTTCTACCTGCCAGGAACTCTGAGACTCAAAAGTCGGAGGCCCACAAATGCTGGTGCGCCTTACATAGCCAAAACTTGCTTTGGAAGAGGACCAGAAATACAGTACAACTGGGAGGGCATACTCTTGTTGTTCCCCCCAGGTCCCAGCTGGGTAAAGGGTGGAGTCTTTTCCCCACTACTTAGGATTCCGAATCTCCAGGTGTGGCCTGCAAATCTTCCAGAATTACAGCAGATCTCCAGACAACAAGGATCACTTTCCCTGGACAAAAAAAAGCGCTTTGGAAGGTGAACACTCCACTGAGGCCCCTCCCCTCCACAAACTCCACCCTCCCCAAGCTCCACCTCCAAATTTCTAGGAATTTCCCAACCCGGAGGTGGCAACCCTGCTTGGGAAAGTTTCACTGCTTTCCGGGCCCCTCTGAGGTTCAGGGTGATGTCAGAGGAAAGGGTGGAAGAGAGACTTGGAAAGGAAAGGCAACTGGGCAAATGGGAATTTCTGGTTGCTGGATAAGATGAAACACTCTCCCTGGATGAATGCAATTGCTTCAGTGTTTTGCCCCTGTAAAAGCTGCAGATGCTTTGCAGAACAATACATTGGGGAAGACAAATGTCCACTCAGAATAGTAACAGAATTCCCCCAGACAAACTGCCCACACTATGACCAGTATTCAGCTTTGATAGCATTAAATTCTGGGAATGGTTTTTGTCATCATGGGAACCAGACATTCTAGAGAAAGCTATTTGGAGCTTCTGGACTGAGCCTTCATGATAGGAATAAAAGGGGAGTTATTGAAGGGAAACAGGTTCTGAGTGGCTTGTTTCAGCAGACAGGTGGAGACCAAATAACCTCCTGCACTGTTAAGAAGTCATGCGATTGGACATATGAGGGAATGAGTAAGAGTCGAGAGATGCAGTTGGAGAGGGAAGGACAGAGGAATGGGAACAGAGCACAAGGGGCTGGAGCTAAAAATAGCCCTTCAGCCAAATTTTGGAAGCACTCAGTATCCCTAGACCAATCCTCAGTGGCCATCAGTTCTGTACAAATCCCATCGTCCCTGGAGACGAAGAAGTCAGGGACCATCAGGACCTTGGCCTGCTGGGGACTTTAAGCCACTTGAATTCTTGTTGGAACCCTGTTTCTCTTGTGGCTTCTGCTCTCCTTTGCAGAATCAAGGGCCACTTGAGGCAGGAAGCTTCCATAGACCCCTGTACTGTGTCTCTCCCTCCTTGATGTGAGAATGGTCACTCCTTTTCCCCTAGGGTTGCCAGTTTCCTCCTGGCAGCTGGTGGGGGATGGGAGGGGGGACTCACCAGCAGAGAGAGAAAGGCCCAGTCCACATTGCTGGTGTCATACAGGAAGTGATTTCATCACGGCAGCAACTTCCAGCCAATGCTTTCTTATCTGGGCAGAAACTCAGTCCCCATCCAGCCTCCCCAAGATCCACCTTCAAATTTTAGGAATTTCCCAACCTGGAGCTGGCAACCCTACGTGGGAGCTTGTTATGCAGAAGAGTCGGACTCGACTGTGCGACTGAACAACAAAAAGTTACCATGGGGCCCAAAGCAGTGTGTAATGGGGGATACTGAGATTCATCTCATGATGGTAGGATATGAAATTGGCAAATATTAGAGCCTGTTACTTATGGCACTCCTGCCAACCTAGCAGTTCGAAAGCAAGAAATTGCAAGTACATAAATAGGTACCACTTCAGTGGGAAGGTAACAGCATTCCGTGCGCCTTGGTGTTTAGTCATGCTGGCCACATGACCATGGAAACGTCTTTGGACAGCGCTGGCTCTTCGGCTTTGAAACGGAGATGAGCACCGCAACCCTAGAGTCGGATTTGACCGGCTTTCGAGGAAGGGAACCTTTACCTTTTACTTATGGCAACATCCAGGGCTTTTTTTGTAGAAAAAGCCCAGCAGGAACCTATTAGCATAATAGGCCACACCCAGCAGCAGAAACTCATTAGCATATTAGGCCATACCCCATGCCTTCCCTTGGCTTGCCCAGGCACCCATGGCTGCAGGGAGCCCGGGCAAGCCGGCCCTTGGATAGGACAGGGAAGGCACAGGGTAACATTTAAATGCCTTCCTGATCCTTCCAGGGACCCCCCTGGCCCATCTGCCTCGGAGTCACCAGGGGGATCACTCTCCAGGCCTTCCCTCTGTAGCCAGGCACACAGAGGTTTTGGCTGTAGTGGGCGTGGCCAACTCTGAAGCCAGCCAGAACTCCGTTCCTGCATGTTCCTGCCCAAAAATAGCCCTGGCAACATCCCTCCAGCACATGCTTTCTGGTACTCAGGTCCTTCATCTGTACTACAAAGCACTTTCTATGGATTGCTGTTTGGCATCTTGCTGCCCCCCCCCCCCATTTTCTGCTTGCTTCCTGCCCTAATCTTGCCTCCTGCTCCTTTGAACTAACCATTTAGTTGTGAACATTGTTTGTTCCCCACATTATACTTTTGACATCCTCTTTGGGCTCCAATTCTCTGGAGCTACTGATCTCCACCACTCTTACTGATCAGGGATGCAAATCTTCAAGGAGCTGTACAGCACTCCCTCTTCCCTTCAAAACACTGGAGGTTTTGGGATGTCTGCAGAAAACTGTATGCACCAGAGCCTCTAGTTTAGGCAAGCAGCTCTGATTCAGTGCAGCTAAGGGCACGTAGGAGTTTAGGGTCATTATTTCTATAGATGCTCCATTGACTGAATCACTTTACACTTTTTTTCAGGTCGCATCAGCTATAAAAACAGGGGTTAAGTGGCTTGGTACTGGGAGTGGCTATTGGGAAAAGGGAGATAAAACCCAAAGAGGACTCATAGATCTGGGAGCCCAATCTTAGAAATTGTATTTAACTAGGAGTAAGGCCAGTTGTGGGAAGAAATACAATGAGCTCTAGAAGGAAGCTCCAGGTGAGTGTCCCGACTGTGGCTGGTGGGGCGGCAGAGGGAAGGGGAAAATAGAGGGAGGCAAGCCATGTTTATTTCCTTATGCTTAGCTATAAGGCAGGGCTGTCTCCAGTCATTTTGGTGCCCCAAGTGGGTAATATGGGAGGACAGCCTCATGGTAACAGGTATGGTTCCCTCCACCCCTGACTTATGTTGATTTGGGGTTATGCAGTGGCAGCTATGCCATGACTTCTGGGTTCCAAGGGTCTGGAAAGCAGTTCCATAGCCAGTTGCAGGCTTGCCAACTCTGGGTTGGGAAATACCTGTAGATTTGAGGGGTAGAGCCTGGGGAGGGCAGGGTTTGGGGTGCAGAGGGAACTCAGCAGGGAGTCCATTCCCCAAAGCAACCATTTTCTCCAGGAGAACTGATCTTGGAGATCTCCAAGTGCTGCCTGGAGGCTGGCAATACTAAGGGGAGGGCTAGACCTGTAGATCTGAGGGGTAGAGCCTGGGGAGGGCAGGGTTTGGGGTGTGGAGGGACTTCAGCAGGGTATAATGCCATAGAGTCCACTGCCCAAAGCAGCAATTGTAATAGGTGCGAAATTTTCTGTAGGCAAAATCATGTTCTATTTTTGGTAGGGAAAATCATGTTCTGTGGCTGGGGAACACAGTGATTTCTGGGAGATTTCCAGGCCCCACAGGGATATTGGCAACTCCAGTGACCATTTAAGGGAAGATTGGGATATGTATTTTGGCAACTCCAGTGACCATTTAAGGGAAAATTGGGATATGTATTTTACCTCAGGACACACTCAGTGACTCGCAACAACAAACTGTTTAGAATTTTAGAGGCAAAGGCCAATAAGGCCGCATACGCAAATGACCTCTGTGTTCCGACTGGCAATTGGGGGGAGAGGAACAGCAAACTGTTTAGAATATTGGAGACGAGACTCAGGCAATGCAGCCAGTGGATAGGGTCAGCTTCTGAGTGACAGATCAGGGAGCGAACTGATTTGGGAGTGTATGGAAGAAGAAGAAGAAGAGATTGGATTTATACCTCGCCCTAACCCTAACCCAAATGTGTCTCAGAGCAGCTTACAAACTCCTTTCCCTTCCCCTCCCCACAACAGACACCCTGTGAGGTAGGTGGGGATGAGAGAGCTCTTGACAGAAACCGCTCATTTTCAAGAACAGCTCTTATCAGAACTACGGCTTGCCCAAGGTCATCCAGCCAGGTGCAAGTGGAGGAGTGGGGAATCAAACCCGGTTCTCCCAGATTAGAGTCCGCACACTTAACCACTACACCAAACTGGCTCAGAAGAGTCCATGACCAAAACAGAATTATATATAAGGAGAGATAAATCTGATTTCAGAGAATCTGATAAGCAAGTGCCTCATCATTTCTTGTGCTCAGTCTATTTTTTTCAGTCGCATTTCCTGTCTTCCACCAAGACGTTCAGGAATATTGAGACTACCTGATTTTATCATCACAAAAATCCTGTAAAGTAGCTTAAGTTAAGAGCCAGTGATATACCCAAGGCCATCCAGAGACTTTCATGGCAGAGTGTTAGAGTTGCTAACTCCAGGTTGGGAAATTCCTGGAGACTTGGGAGCAGAGCCTGGGAATGGTGGAGTTTAAGGAAGGGAGGGACCTCAGAAGCTATGTTAACACCATAGAGTCCACCCTTCAAAGCTGCCATTTCTCTGTAGTTTGGAAATCAGTTATAATCCCAGAAGAACTCCAGCCCCCATCTGGAGGTAAGCAGCCCTACTAGAGTGCAGTTATGAACTTGGGCCTGCCTCTTGCAGGTTTAACATTTGACCAGTGAAACCTCCATAGGATGAGCTGCAGTTGCCAAAGTCCTTCACTGCAAGTACAGGAAGCTGCAGTCTTTGTAATAAGTGAAACAGACACTTCTACTGAGACCTAAAGGAGGTATGACTTCTTTCGATGGACTTACAAAATTGCTACTCAAAAAATCTAATATCGAATATTTTTTTCTATTAGAAATGCAGGTATATCAAAGGAGAGTTGCTGAGCTTTTACCTGTGAAGTTGACTTTCAGCAGATAGTCGTTGTAGACCTTCTTGCCATCCAAATGCTTCATAGCATCACAGAGCTTGGTGGTATTTGGACACAAAGTCCGTTGCATTTTATGCAAGGCGTGGGCCATTGCATACACAGCATTTACCACAAACATGATCTTGGATTCTTGTTCATAGTTAGAACTGTTAATAAATAAGTGTTTGTCACAAGTTTTTCTGTGAGGTTTTTTGTTCTGAAGGCTGCACTGAAATTTCTGCTCCCAAAAATCTTTGAACCAGGGATTACGATGGTTGTTGGCTGGAGTGAGGCTTTGGAAATATCGGTCAAATTCTTTTACAGGATGGGAAGCAAGCTCTAAGGTTATCGCCCCATAAGCTATGTGCTCGTTACCCTTCACGACACTCTCCTGGGCCCCCCACCCATCGCTGGCAACCCATGTAAAGGACACATTAAATCGGTTGGCTGCAGCAATGAGCTCCCGAGAGTCATCACTGCGCATGAAAAGGACAACCACTTTTGCATTGGGTTTCTGGAGCAGCTCTCGGATGACACTGTCATAGGATTTCCGAATGTTGGAGCGGCCGACCTTCTCAGAGGTGGCAATGCATATATTGCGGAGCCGGGCTTCTTGTTCAAAGGCCTCGATTCCTGTTTCTCCGTAGTCGCCTTCAGAAGCAACTGTTGACACATATGTCCAGTTAAAAAACCTCAGGATCTCTGCCATTGCTTTTGCTTGATAAAAGTCAGGAGGCACCGTCCGTGCAAAATAGTCATAGCGGGACTTGTCGCTCAGCTTAGCACTGGTGGATGCATAGCTTATTTGAGGAATCTGGAAGAGCCTTAGTAAATTTGCAACCTGGAAAGGAGAAATACACAGTTGCTTATTTGAATCAATTTCCAGCTCTTTTACAGAAGTTTGAACGTATGGCAAGTAGCCCTGTTGATAACAAGAATATATACTGTGAGCATATTATACCATTACAAGTATTACAGTCCAGCATAGGCCACCAATGCATCTCTATCACTCAGTCAGTGCAGCATCACGTGGTGATCTGTGTTCATGAATGTTCTGTTACAGATTAAAGACAGAGCATTTATACAGTCCTCCTATCACTTGAATCTTTTAAAGGGTATCACTTTAGGAATATATATTCACATAATATGTAACCAAGATCTGATCCAAATCACATCTGTTTTCTAACGTGTGGTAACAATTAGAAGCATTTAAATCTTATCATTATTCTGATAACTTGCTGTCTGATAAGCACATTCTAACTTCCTAAAGTTTTGGAGGGGGGGGGGAATACCATACAATCCCTGTGAAAGTCCACTGGATGGAAAACAGGACACAGGAAGAACTGAGGTGCCTTCCTGCGGAAACAGAGTTGCCATGCTGCTGAAACCAAAAGAAATGAATAGGGAACAGGGGGAAAAGTCCACAGGTATAACAGGTATGCCAACCTAGCAGTTCGAAAGCAAGAAATTGCAAGTAGATAAATAGGTACCACTTCGGTGGGAAGGTAACAGCGTTCCGTGCACCTTGGTGTTTAGTCATGCCGGCCACATGACCACGGAAACGTCTTCGGACAGCGCTGGCTCTTCGGCTTTGAAACGGAGATGAGCACTGCAACCCTAGAGTCGGATTCGACTGGCTTTCGAGCAAGGGAACCTTTACCTTTATAACAAGTATAATATAGAGAACAAAAGGAACCAAACATTGTTCAAGCAAAATTCCTGGAGATCTCTGGTGATCTTCTCCCCATGCAGAATGATGCACAACTATGCTTACATATATGAATGTGGCACTTACAACTTTAATGGCAAGGCATGTGCATCACCCAAGCAGGAAAACACCATGATGACCCAAGATCCTGTGCCCAGGCAAGAACCAAAGTGACCCAACCCCAGCAATGCCAATGCTGGCTCTTGTGCAGCTGAAGGTGAGGGAAACCAGTGGCCTTTTCTAGTAACTTATACTAGTGAGCAGGCCCAGTGCAGCCACTAGGCAAACCTAGGTGATCACCTAGGGTGCCAAACTTTGAGGGGGACTGAAAGGTGAGGGGAGCCTTCTCTACTGGCTCAAAGGGAAGCTTTGGTATGACATCTAGAATCTCCACATCTGTTGCCACAGGTCTTCTGTAGCTGCCATGATGGAACACAGAGAACTTTTGAAGAACTTCTCTATTTTTATTTTTACATCGTTCTTTTTTGAATGCCTAGTAAAATGCTCTTTCTAGACTTCTCATTTCTCTTTCTGTCGAAGGAGAGGAGAATCCATGCCAAAACACCATGGGCCAGCCCTGCTCATGAGCAAACATGCTCTGTAAGGTTATTTGTCTGTTTGTTTGTTTTAGGGATCATGGAGTATCTTTTGATTTGCTCTGGCCTAGTAGTGTAAGGAAACTTCCTTTCCCGGAGTGGCTGGTCTCTTTGCAGTTCTCTCCCTTGCACAGAACTGGATGATGGTTTACAGGCTGAATAGCTGTTCCCCATCCTTCTAGTCATCTGTTGAAGCTCTTTGGAGGCTGATATTTTTTTTCTTAAAAAAATTAACACCAAATTCCTAAAAAGACAGGAAAATAAATGAATTGTTGGATTTCAAAGAGATTTAGTGGATATACAAGTTTAGTTGTCATTGTTTTTTTTAAAAATTAGGAAAATATTCCAAATTAGAAAAAATAGACATCTCTAATTAGAAAAAATAGACATAAATCTGACATTAGAAACTACAACATTAAAAAAAACAGTGGAGGAACATTTAACTTTCCAGGACATTCAGTTGCTGACCTAACAGTAGCAGTTCTCTTACAAAGGAATTTCAAAGGGAGATTAGAAAGTGAGGCTGCTGAATTGCAACTGATAATGAGGCTCAATGCATCCTCCAGGACTGCATTGAGACCTAGGTTTCCTGTCTCATTACCAATGCCTGGTATTGTCATTTGGCATCTGAAATCACTCCACTCTCCAAGGTCTAAGAACCAATGGACTCAAATCTAGCTGTATCTGAAGAAATGAGCAGTGACTCACAAAAGTTCATTCTTTGCCACAGATTTTGTTAGGTGCTACTGGACTTTTGCTCCTTTCCTCTAATAAAGATGGCAAGCTGTGCTGTTAGGTTTCTTCCTTCCTTTCTCCTTTATCTATTTAAACTGGAGAGGGGGGGGGGTCTCTCCAAGTGAAATAATGTGTTGATTTTGGACTGGACAAAATCAGTGCTAGTGCATCAAAAGCAAAGAGGGAGTGGAGAAAGGCAGCCAGAGAGGTAGACACATTGAAGAGGAAAATATGGAACCATAAATGTACTTTATATACTCAGCCATATACTTCCAGTCATTAAACAATGGAATCCAATCCAAGTGTTCTAATTCCTAATCAGGCTCAGATAGCCATTGAGAAATCTAATCTAAAAAAACCCACCTCAGAATAAGCCAAAATAATTTCTTTTTAATTCTCCTTTCCCCTTATCCCAACATGCCCCTTCCTTTTAACACATATGTGTGTGGGGGGGGGGGGAGAAAAAGAGAGAAAAAGATATCAAGTCTCAAAGAAACACAGCAAAGCAGGGTAATCTCAATGTAAATTGTGCTTGGGAGAAGAATCCATCCATCCTCCCTCCCTCTGAAGAAGAAGAAGAATGAAAGTTTATACCTGAAATAAAATTTTGCTGGTCTTAAAGAAGCCATGGGAGTCAGGCTTTGCTCTTTCGCCTGCAGAAGCACTCACTTTCCCTCCCCCTCCCTTTTTCCCAAAAGAGGAGAGCTCAGCCAATGGAAGGAAGGAAGAATTGGCTTGGTTGTCTCCCACATGAAGCAGGAACCAAGAACCAGGAGGGGGGAGCTGGGCAAAAATGAGCTGCTATGCCAGGGCAGCAGCAGCCCCAGAGAAGGAAGCAACAGAGAACCAGTTGCTTGCGGGCCAGATCCAAGCCCTGCAGGGGCTGGATCCAGCCTACAGTCCATATGTTTGACACGCCTGCTGTAGAGTTTAGCCTTGCAGCCATTGGTGGTGTATAGGGTTGCCAAATCCTTGCCGTATGTAGAGCGGGGGACTCCAGCACTGCTCCAGGAGTCCGTGCGCGCGCCGCAACTACATCACTTGGAAGTGACGCAACCACGTCAGGCACGCCGGGGGCGGGGCCACAATCATCTGAGGAAAACCATAGAGTTTTCCCTCGGATGACCGCGGCCCTGCCCCCAATGCGCCCGACGCGACTGCGTCACTTCCGGGTGATGTGCTGATGCCGGGCACGTCGTGTGCTTTGGGGGTGGGGTTCCCCCCAGGGCCCGATCTGCCAGTGGCGGGTAACAGGCCTCTTGGGCAGGGGTTTCCCCACCCCCTGGGGGACTTGGCAAGCCTAATAATAATAATAATAATAATAATAATAATAATATCTTTTGATTTATTAATCGCTCAATCCTGCAGAGCTGCTGGCTCTGAGCGATTTACAGTTACACATATTAACAAGGGACTAACAATGATTCATAGGGGGTAAGGGAGGACAACATATAAATCTTTT